TAAGATAAACGAGTGTTGATAATTTTGACAGGGTTTCCTCCAGTGCTTACTAGGCCAGGTTCTCCTCCCCCCACCAGGCTAATCATCACTTATTCATGTAAAAATTATTTATTTTTTTATGTCTGCCTTTAACCGCATCTAATACTGTATTACGGCGTGAGCGCAACAGCGACAACTTAAGATCGATGTGTGAGCAGCCTGAGAGGCCGTTTGTTTTCATCTGAACCCTTAAAACCTCCAGCAGGCTACGCTGCACTTTTGACGTGTTAGCGCGCGGCGCTAACAACTTAGCGACGTGACATGTCTCGGAGAAAGCATAAAAACACGTTGGACGCTTCTTCTGAAGCGGGAAAATAACACCTCTTCTTAAGCAGAGCATGACGTCGCCTCGGCTCGTTCACGGCCGAGCCGGACTGAGCTCGATAACATTGACCCAGCACAGCCACTTGGTCGTTGGAGCTGCCCCGTCACTGCCTGATGGAAAACCAGCGGGTTTCATCAGACTCGTAAAGTTTTTTTTGTTTTTGCTGGGGACCCCCTGTATTTTACCGCTCCCTCTTGCAGTCTTCCCCTATTAACATTTAAAATGATTCTGTAAACTCTGTGTATCAATAGAAAAAATCTCTGCCTCTGCCAGCTGCAGTAAATGTAGTTTCCAAATAATAAATAAGAGGTGCATTCATCTGTGCATCTCCTTTGATCCGCATTAGTGATATTTTCAGCACCAGAACAGTGAAGCAAAGAAACAGATTCCTGAGTTTGTTAGTGATTTTATTTATTAGGTGCATCTAACCTGTTCTAATTTTCTCTGAAATGGGATCAAATCAGTGCTTCTATGGGTTGGCTCCACTCTGCACTAGAAAATTTGCTTTCATCCAAAAAAAGTACTTTGGACCACTGAGCAACAGTCCAGTGCTGCTTCTCTGTAGCCCAGGTCAGGCGCTTTTGCCGCTGTTTCTGGTTCAAAAGTGGCTTGACCTGGGGAATGCGGCACCTGTAGCCCATTTCCTGCACACACCTGTACAAGGTGGCTCTAGATGTTTCTACTCCAGACTCAGTCCACTGCTTCCGCAGGTCCCCCAAGGTCTGGAATCGGTCATTCTCCACAGTCTTCCTCAGAGTCTGGCCACCTCTTCTGGTTGTGCAGCGTTTTCTGCCACACTTTTTCCTTCCCACAGACTTCCCACTGAGGTGCCTTGATACAGCACTCTGGGAACTGCCTATTCGTTCAGAAATTTCTTTCTGTGTCTTTCCCTCTTGCTTGAGGGTGTCAATGATGGCCTTCTAGACAGCAGTCAGGTCGGCAGTCTTACCCATGATTGCGGTTTTCAGTAATGAACCAGGCTGGGAGTTTTTAAAAGCCTCAGGAATCTTTTGCAGGTGTTTAGAGTTAATTAGTTGATTCAGATGATTAGGTTAATAGCTCGTTTAGAGAACCTTTTCATGATCTGCAAATTTTTTTGAGATACAGTAGGAATCATGGGTTTTCATGAGCGGTATGCCAAAATCATCAATATTAGAAACAATAAAAGGCTTGAACTACTTCAGTTGTGTGTAATGAATCGAATATACATGAAAGTCTAATGTTTATCAGTACATTACAGACAATAATGAACTTTATCACAGTATGCAAATTTTTTGAGAAGGACCTGTACAGTTGCAAGAAAAAGTATTTGAACCCTTAGATTTAATAACTGGTTGAACTTGCTTTGGCAGCAATAACTTCAACCAAATGTTTCCTGTAGTTGCAGGTCAGACCTGTACAAAGGTCAGGAGTAATTCTTGATATTTTCTTTTTACAAAACTGGTTCAGTTCAGCAATATTCTTGGGATGTCTGGTGTGAATCCTTTCATTGAGGTCAGGCCAGCATCTCAATTAGGTTGGGGTCACCACTCTAGCTAGGCCACTCTAGAAGGCATATTTTCTTCTGTTTAAGCCATTCTGTTGTTGATTTACTTATAGGCTTTGGGTCGGTGTCCTGCTGTGTCACCCATCTTCTGCTGAGCTTCAGATGTTTAATAGATTTTGTATATAGTTTTTCAGCTAAATGTCTTGATAAACTTGAGAATTCCTTTTTCCTTTGATGATAGTAATCTGTCCAGGCCCTGACGAAGCAAAGCAGCCCCAAACCATGATGCCTCCACCACCATACTTCACAGTATACATTTAAAAATACACCACTCATGTCTTCACCCTCCAGCCTTTCTCAAGTTTTTCTTTGAGGCCCTGGTACTTCTCTAATTTCTCATGTTCTTTTTTCCTGATGTTGCATCACTTAGTATCGAACACAACCACAAAAGCTGTCCTCTCTTATTTGTCCACCACCACAATGCCCGGTTGGTTTACCATCACCATTTTTTCAGTCTGGATCTGGAAGTCCCACAGGAGCTCTGCTCTCTTGCTCTCAACCAGCTTAGGGGGTGTTACCCACTTTGACCTTGGGGCTTCCAGTCCATACTCTGCACAGATGTTTCTGTACATGATGCCAGTGACTTGGTTGTGGAGTTCCATGTTTGCTTTCCCTGCCAGCATCTGCAGTTATGTGGTGGATTGTCTCAGGGTCTTTGCATAGCCTACACCTTGGGATTTGTCTGGTGTGGTAGATCTTGGCCTGTCACATATCACACACACACACACACACACACACACACACACACACACACACACACACACACACACACACACACACACACACACACACACACACACACACACACACACACACACACACACATACATATTTGTTTGATGGGGTGTTATCACATGTCTGGTGTTCGGCTTTAAGAAACTACTCTGCAGATGCACACAACATTTCCTTTTCTTCACTGAAGATTTTTGAAACATTTTTACGGCAGCATATTACCGTCAGTGTGCGGAAAAAAAAAGGATTGGTATCTTGTAATAACGAGATTCTCGTAAAATCCTGTTTTAGCGAGAAATATTCTCATAAAAACGTGCAACTTTCTCATTACAATGTGATATAAATCTCGTCTTAATGAGAACGCTTCTGAAAATAACACATTTAATAACGTGAAATGGCGATTAAAGGTTTTGGAGTTATACTCAGAATGAACGTGGCAGCTATTCCAGTTCTTGATGTTAGAACTGTAGGAAGTATTTATCCATTAACCCTGATGAACCTGATTGGTTAGTTAGATTACAGGCTTGTCTTGAAGAATTAAAAAATTAGATGGTTCTAAACTTTCTGCTTTTAAATCAAGACAAGATTGAAGTTATCTTCTTTGGACCTGAAAATCAGAAAAGAAAATTGTTTAGTCAGTCACCTGACCTGAATGGCATTACATTAGTCTCCGAGAACAAAGTAAGGAACCTTGGTGTTATCTTTGACCAGGACATGTCTTTCAAATCCCAGGTTTCACAAGTTTGTAGGATTTCCTTTTTCCACCTTCAGAATATTGCTAAGATTAGAAGCATCCTTTCCAGGAGTGATGCTGAAAAACTAGTTCATGCATTTATTACACCAAGATTGGATTACTGTAATTCATTACTCTCAGGAAGTCCACAGAATGTATAGTTAAAAGTCTTCAGCTTGTACAAAATGCTGCAGCTAGAGTTCTGATGAGAATTAAAAAGAGAGATCATATCTCTCCTGTCTTAGCTTCCCTACATTGGCTACCTGTTCAATTCAGAATAGATTTTAAGATCCTCCTTCTCACATATAAAGCTCTTAATAATCAAGCTCCATCATACATCAGTGATCTGATTGTTCCATGGAGAACGAACACCAAAGAAACATCTAGTGTGTGGAGGTTGTAGTTGCAACAATGGAACAAGAGTTCCAACCGTCGGGATACCAGGTTCACTGCTGATACGTGAAATGTTTTATTAGGATCCATCTATTGTAGGCTTCACCTAAAATCACTGCTTTTAGATCTTTTATGGTTGCTCATCTTCTAAGAATAACATCTTCTGGGCTCAGAACATCGACATATAAAAATATGGACAGAGCCTGCCCATTTCTCCACCATGGGGCAACTTGAAGCCAAAAATGGAAGGTTCCCACCAGTGATTCTTTTTGACTGAGTCACACCCAGACAATCGAAAAATGGGAAAATATGTGAAGCTATAAATGACACCAGTGTAGCTGCTAGCTAACTTAGCTAACCCAGGAAGCTACAAAGGGCTCCGGGGACCGCTGGGAAGCCCACTCCATGGCCAACTGGCATCTGTGCGAGAGTGTAGTCATGCTGGTCACCTGTGGAGATTTAATATGGACTGGGATTGTTAAATTACAAGCAAACAGGGCCAAAGTGCCTGGTGGCTGCACACCCTAAGGCAGCAGATTCATGCCTGCAATGTAAACAGTCGGAGCATGAACCTGCAGCAGGTGTAAATTGGCGGTCACGCATTGGCGGTCTGCAGCTGTACCCTGCTCATTGGCCCGGTTGAGAAAGGTTTATAAATGGTCAGTCAGTGTGACATGATCATGTTCATCCTCATGTACATGTGCAGATCCCTCTCTTTCCTAGCTCTGAGAAGGACGGTTCTGAGTGCAAACTGTTTTTTTTCTTTCTTTTAATACATCTACAGGGAATACCTACAAGAAAGTTCTACAGAAAGTTGCAAAGGGTACTCAGAAATCCACCAAGTTTGTCGCTAGGTTCTTTTAGGTCAAAAAGTTGTTAGGGGGGAGGTTATTATGAATAGCATCAAAGTAACTGAGTTGGCAAGACTGAAAATGAGATAGGATGGGGAGCTCCCCCAGAAGTCTGCGTGTATATTGTACCCTGCGTTAGCAGATGTCTCGCGCTATTGGCTAATGCTGAGTGGCACTTGATCCAAATTGCATGGGGCAGGACAGGGCCATCAAAATAAAAGGTTACACATTGCCTACATTACATCACAGTACAGGCTAAAACTATCACTTTTACAAATTTCTAAAAATGATGTATGCTACTTTAATGAACATGATTGATGGTACAGCCAGTAATAGCTAAAAACAAACATTTCAATCTATGGTTGCTTTTTCCCCCCAAAGGTTAAAGATGAGAAGCAGGAGAAAGAAGAAAAAGAACCAAAAGAAAATATCTCACCAACCTCTGAAACGGTAAAGCCAACAGCTTTGTGTCTTTTAAAAACTTGTAATCGGTTATTCTGGAACCCTGTAGCCAGAAGCATACAGGCAATATTTAGTCCCTAATACCTCTTGGTTCACTCCTTCTCCTTTTGCTTTCAGAATGATAACATGGGGCCCTCTGACTCCAGCAGTACCAAAGAACAGCACCTTCCTTCCTTGTCAGAGCACTGCCGCCTTTATTTTGGAGCTCTTCAAAAGGCTATTGGAGCATTTGTGGACAGTCTTCACAATGGCCAGCCCCCAGAGAAGTTTATCTCTCAAAGTAAACTGGTCATCATGGTGGGCCAGAGGTTGGTTGACACCCTTTGTAAGGAAGCCCATCGTCAAGAGTTGTCCCAAAGCCTGCTATGTAAGAGCAACCACCTGTGTGCTCTCCTGAAGCAGCTGGCGGTGGCCACCAAGAAAGCAGCTCTGCACTTTCCCGATAAGCAGGCTCTGTTGGAGGTAAAAGAGTTTGCTAAAGATCTAGCCCAAAGGGCACAACATTTCCGGATATCACTTGACCTCTGAGAGCAAATGCAGCAAGCATTTGTTGAGACTGTAAAAGGCAACCATTCATTCTTGATGCATCTGGCTGGTTTCTGGTTAAGTCCTTTGTTTAATACTATCTTTCTACTGAACTTCACTAAGCTAAATAGTTTATTAATTGGAAATAATTCAAGCAAATGTAAAATAGCTAGGACAAGTTTGTTTTATAATTATTTTACATTTTTGAAAACAGCTTATCACATTGACTTGAGTGTTTTTATATTTTAGATATAGATGATGTCACCTGCTGGGTTTTAGATGCATTTTGTAAATATTTAGTATATGAATATTAAGTGAAAATGAAATCTTTATGTCTTTCCAAACTTTTAAGTCAAATAATTTTAATATTTACTTCTAATAAAAAGCAATAATAAAATCACAATGCTTTGGAATTGTTCTAATTTCTCAAACCAGTTTCTTCTAAAATATAATATTTTTCAATATTAATCCAAAAAGAACCTCAAAATAATTGGCAATCTGCAGAGATGGATAAAATAAGAGAATCACATCAGAGAAAAGGTTTTTGATTGGTTCTGTGAATTCAGGTTGTTCATTCTGTCAGCTGGCTCTGGGTCAGCAAGGTTGATTATTCTCCTATTAATTTTCAGTGCTTAATAAAAAATACGTCGTCAAAACTGCCTCTGGTGTGTAAATGTATTGTTGACATATTAGTGTGAAAATTTTGTGTTTTTGTCACTGGGATCTTGAAGTCATAGAGAAATCTTTCACAGGCACAAACAATAGCTTTACCAATTCAAAATCTTAGGTAGAAGTACACAGATTCCATTCTTTGAGTCACAGATCACAAGACCTTACAGTTACAGTTTTTCCCCAGTATATCCAAAATATATAGTACAAAAATGTTTGTGTCTCGACTCTGGGAACTTAAAATCACAGACAAAAATTCCTGAAAAATCCTATCATTCACACGTACATAACGACGTACAATTGGCCCCCTTAATGGTTCCACATCATGCCATTTTAAATCTTTGAGAGCAAAGGTAACTACAGTATATGAAAAAACATTACCGTTGGCACTATTGGGATGTAATTTATCTAAAATACGAGTTTTTTTGGTTTGCTTTTGTAGCGGAATGAAATGACCTAAAGGTCATCTCCCCTCTCTCCTCACGAAGCACTAATCTCCTTGAGATATTGCTCAAGGCCTTTGATGTCACGATGTGGGGATGTTTAGAACCCAAAATGCAGATCACCCAGGATGACACGAGGCAGAAGATGGTGTAAAGTAAAAATCCTTTTATTTGATGGATGAAACAAAAATAAATCCAGGCAGCGAGCCTAAAGTCCAGAAGTCCAGAGCACAGTTTACCCAAAGCTCACTTAAAGCAAAAAAAACCAGGAGACCAAAAAACTCACAAGGAGCACGAAGAATAAGAGACAAAGCTCAGACAGAGCACGAACAACCGCTGACAGAAATACAACAAACACACTGACGGCAAAAATGGACCGACACAACACAGAGACAAGACAGGGCTTATGTAGACAGGGAGGAGCAATTAGGGAAACAGGAAGCAGGTGTGTGGAGTGAGGCTGGAGGGAAGACAGGTGACCACAATTATCTGGATGGGGAAGAGAACCAGTGGAGGGCAGATAAACCTAAAACTATATAAAACACAAAACTAAACCTAAAGACTATGGGAAGGACTCACACAAACACATACACATACTGACACACACAAACTCATACACACATACAATGAACTGGGGAACAAGAGGCTGGAGCTACTACTTAAGACACACAACAGAGATGCAGACAAAGGACACATGAGGGCTCTAAGAGAACACAAAAGGAGGACCTGGAGTGGGAACTGGAGGAGCTGGGGAACAAAGGGACACAGAACATGACATTTGATGCCTCTGCATCTAAACTGTTTTCAATAGCTATTTGCCTCCTCCTACAGCACAAGAAAGAAGAAAGAAGACCAAGAACTAAAATAATAATCAAATAACTTTGTTAGTCCAAATAATCATGTGAAGCCTAATGTTCAATCAATCTATGAAATGAGAATATTAATTACTTGATATTATAATCGTATGACAGTATATAATAGTAATATAACTTTAAACTAGACACTAGACTGATCAAATGTAATGTTAAAGTCACATGACACATTCCTTTTGTCTCTCCAATCAGAGCTTTCCTTTCTGATGCGTGGCGTGGTCTGTGCCATGTTTATTTTGTAGTCAAATTCTGATTCGACCATAAATCAAAAACATCTGAATTATAAAACTAATTCCCACGTCACCCTTAACTCAATTCAAACGTTCTAGAGTTTTGAGCCGGCCACTCGTAACTTTTTAACTACAAGAACCTTGACAAGGTGAATAATAAAACCTGTTGCAAGCTCCACCTGAACGCAACACTCCTTCAGAGTAAAGCTGAATTCACTGACCCTTCAGGGTCCCGCTGACGCTGTCAAACACCAGTCACTTACCCGGAGGCATTCCAAGACTAGTCTGTCGTACCGTACGCTGTTTCATCGGCTCTGGTACCAAAGGGAGGTCCGTGGACCTAGCAATCTGGATCTACAACGGAGGTCTCCGCCAGGGGTATGTAGAGTGGCAATATGGCGTCTGAATGTGGTTTTGAAACGCCGACTGTAGTTTAGAGCAAAACATTCGCTCCCACACAGAACTAACGTCGTCTTCGTCTTCCTCCGCTTATCCGGGTCCGGGTCGCGGAGGCAGCATCCCAACTAGGGAGCTCCAGGCCGTCCTCTCCCCGGCCTTGTCCACCAGCTCCTCCGGCAGGACCCCAAGGCGTTCCCGGACCAGATTGGAGATGTAACCTCTCCAACGTGTCCTGGGTCGACCCGGGGGCCTTCTGCCGGCAGGACATGCCCGAAACACCTCCCCGGGGAGGCGTCCAGGAGGCATCCTGACCAGATGCCCAAACCACCTCAACTGGCTCCTTTCGATCCGGAGGAGCAGCGGTTCTACTCCGAGTCCCTCCCGAATGTCCGAGCTCCTCACCCTATCTCTAAGGCTGAGCCCGGCCACCCTACGGAGGAAACTCATTTCGGCCGCTTGTATCCGCGATCTCGTTCTTTCGGTCATTACCCAAAGCTCATGACCATAGGTGAGGATTGGGACGTAGATCGACCGGTAAATCGAGAGCCTGGCCTTCTGGCTCAGCTCCCTCTTCCCCACGACAGATCGGCTCAGCGTCCGCATCACTGCAGACGCCGAACCAATCCGCCTGTCGATCTCCCGATCCCTCCTACCCTCACTCGTGAACAAGACCCCGAGATACTTAAACTCCTCCACTTGAGGTAGGACCTCTCCCCCGACCCGGAGGTGGCAAGCCACCCTTTTCTGGTCGAGAACCATGGTCTCAGATTTGGAGGTGCTGATCCTCATCCCAGCCGCTTCACATTCGGCCGCGAACCTACCCAGCAAGAGCTGAAGGTCAGAGCTGGATGAAGCTAGGAGGACCACATCATCCGCAAAAAGCAGAGACGAGATTCTCCTGCCACCAAACTCGACACACTCCACACCACGGCTGCGTCTAGAAATTCTGTCCATAAAAGTGATGAACAGAACCGGTGACAAAGGGCAGCCCTGGCAGAGTCCAACCCTCACTGGGAACAGGTCCGACTTACTACCGGCTATGCGGACCAAACTCACGCTCCTCTGGTAAAGGGACTGAATGGCCCTTAACAGAAAGCCACCCACCCCATACTCCTGGAGCGTCCCCCACAGGGTGCCCCTGGGGACACGGTCATAAGCCTTCTCCAAATCCACAAAGCACATGTGGATTGGTTGGGCAAACTCCCATGCCCCCTCCATCACCCTTGCAAGGGTATAGAGCTGGTCCACAGTTCCACGGCCAGGACGAAAACCACATTGCTCCTCCTCTATCTGAGATTCAACTATCGATCGGACCCTCCTCTCCAGTACCTTGGCGTAGACCTTTCCAGGGAGGCTGAGGAGTGTGATCCCCCTATAGTTGGAACACACCCTCAGGTTACCCTTCTTAAAGATGGGGACCACCACCCCGGTCTGCCACTCCCTAGGAACTGCCCCCGATGACCACGCAATGTTGTAGAGACGTGTCAACCATGACAGCCCTACAACATCCATAGCCTTGAGATACCCAGGACGAACCTCATCCGCCCCCGGGGCTCCGCCGCTGTGTAGTTGTTTGACTACCTCAGCAACTTCTGCCCCCGAGATCGGACAGTCCATCCCCAGGCCTCCCAGCTCTGGTTCCTCCTCGGAATGCGCATTGGTGGGATTGAGGAGCTCCTCAAAGTATTCCTTCCACCGTCCGACTATAGCCTCAGTTGACGTCAGCAGCTCCCCATCCCCACTGTAAACAGTGTGAGCGAGTTGCTGCCTTCCTCTCCTGAGGCGCCGGACAGTTTGCCAGAACCTCTTTGGAGCCGATCGATAGTCTTTCTCCATGGCCTCACCAAACTCCTCCCACGCCCGAGATTTTGCCTCGGCAACTGCCACTGCTGCACCCCGCTTGGCTATCCGGTCCCTGTCTGCTGCCTCCGGAGACCCACAGACCAGCCACGCCCTGTAGGCCTCCTTCTTCAGCCTGACGGCTCCCCGAACCTCTGGTGTCCACCAGCGGGTACGGGGGTTGCCACCACGACTGGCACCGGCCACCTTACGACCACAGCTAGCAACAGCCGCCTCGACAATCGCAGAGTGGAACAAGGCCCACTCGGACTCAATGTCCCCCACTGCTCTCGGGACGTGGTCAAAGCTCTGCCGGAGGTGGGAGTTGAAGACCGTCTTGACAGGTTCTTCTGCCAGGCGTTCCCAGCAGACCCTCACTATGCGTTTGGGTCTGCCAGGTCTACGCGGCATGTTCCCTTGCCATCTGATCCAACTCACCACCAGGTGGTGATCAGTTGACAGCTCCGCCCCTCTCTTCACTCGGGTGTCCAAAACATACGGCCGCAGGTCAGATGATACGACTACAAAATCTATCATCGACCTGTGACCTAGGCTGCCCTGGTACCAAGTGTACCGGTGGGCATCCTTATGTTCGAACATGGTGTTCGTTATGGCCAAACTGCGGCTTGCACAGAAGTCCAATAACAAAACACCGCTCGAGTTCAGATTAGGTGGGCCGTTCCTCCCAATCACACCCCTCCAGGTCAAGCTGTCATTGCCCACGTGAGCATTGAAGTCCCCCAGCAGGACAATGGAGTCCCCTGATGGAGCACTATCTAGCACTCGTCCCAGGGACTCCAAAAAGGGTGGGTACTCTGAACTGATATTTGGCCCATAAGCACAAACAACAGTCAGGACCCGTTCCCCGACCCGAAGGCGCAAGGAAGCTACCCTCTTGTCCCCCGGGGTGAACCCCAACACACAGGCAGAGAGTCTCGGGGCTAACAAAAAGCCAACCCCAGCCCTCCGCCTCTCACCCGGAGCAACTCCAGCAAAGTAGAGTGTCCAACCCCTCTCCAGGTCTCGGGTTCCAGAGCCAATGCAATGTGTCGAGGTGAGTCCGACTATATCTAGCCGGTACCGCTCAACCTCTGCCACAAGCTCCGGCTCCTTCCCCGCCAGCGAGGTGACGTTCCATGTCCCAAAAACTAGTTTTCTTGTCCGGGGATTGGACCGCCAAGGCTCCCGCCTTGGTCTGCCACCCGAT